TACCCCAGCTGCTCTGTCCCAGGCGTCCCCAAGAGCAGCTGGAGTGCTGCTGGGTTGGTGCCGTAGTGCCGCCCCTCGGCGCTGCGGGACCAACCTGGCAGCACCCCAGCTGCTCTATTACAGGCATCCCCAATTCAGCTACTGCTGAAACTCACCAGCAGCAGCTGAATCAGGGACGCCTGGGGCAGAGCCGGACTATCGTAAGGGGGGGCTATTAGGGGTCTGAGGTGGCATCCTCTCCCACCCCACTCCAGACCCCTCATAGCCCCCCCTTCTGATAGTCCGGCATCTGATAATCCGGCACCCCCTGGGTCCTAAAGGTGCCGGATTATCGGAAGTTGACTGTAGTTGAGATTGGACAAAACTGCATGAAAATGTACATCTGGATAAGCATCATATAGAGTCCTGCAAAGCCGAAAATATCTGCACTTGGGACCGAAGAATCCCAAGCATTGTTACAGGCTGGGAACCAACCAGCTAAGTATTAGTTCTGCAGAAAAGGACCTGCAGATTACAGTGGATGAGAAGCTGGATATGAGTCAACAGTGTGCACTTGTAGCCAAGAAGGCTAATGGCATATTAGGGTGCATTAGGAGGAGCATTTCCAGTAGATCCAGAGATGTGATTATTCCCCTTTATTTGGCTCTGGTGAGGCCACATCTGGAGTAGTGTGTCCAGTTCTGGGCCCCCCCCTACAAAAAGGATGTGGATGCATTGGAAAGGGTCCAGTGGAGGGCCACAAAAATGATTAGGGGGCTGGAGCATATGACTTACAAGGAGAGGCTGAGGGAGATTTGTCTGTTTAGTCTGCAGAAGCGAAGAGTGAGGGGGATTTGATAGCAGCCTTCAACTTTGATAGCAGCCTTCCAAAGAGGCTGGAGAAAGGCAGTTCTCAGTAGAGACAGATGGCAGAACAAGGAGCAATGGTCTCAAGTTGCAGTGGGAGAAGTCCAGGTTGGATATTAGGAAAAACTATTTCACTAGGAGAGTGGTGAAGTACTGGAACGGGTTACCTAGGGAAGTAGTGGAGTCTCCATCCCTAGAGATTTTTAAGTCTCGGCTTGACAAAGCCCTGGCTGAGTTGATTTAGTTGGGATTGATCCTGCCTAGGGCAGGGGGCTGGACTTGATGACCTTCTGAGGTCTCTTCCAGCTTTATAGTCCTATGATTCTATGTAGGTATCCACTTGCAAACATGGATGACGGTACCTGTGGCTCATTTTTGCAGATGTGGATGAAGATAAAAAAAAATGTTGTATTTGCGCAGAACTCTACATATAGATCAAATACTAAGAATATTGAGTTGATGAAGAGGTAAAAAATATATAGGGAATAAGGAAATGTGATTATTATGTACCCAATTCCAGCCTCAGGTATCCTTGTTTAAATGCAGTGACTTCTCAGATTTCATAGGGTCGCTCTAGATTTGCCATGTATCTGACTAGATTGAGCAGATGCTTGTAGCCTGAAGTGTACAAATCAAAGGCAAGTCAAATGCTAACCTCCCAGACCACAGATCTGCTTTATTCTTCAGCAAAAATCAGAAGTGTCACTTTAATAATTGCTCTGGAAAGTTTTTATGAGCAGAGAATGCCAGTATTCACACCACGGACTCCCAGTAAAATGAAACATGGTTTTGTTCAAGCTGGAGCCATGAATGTAAGTATATACCCATTATACAAGCTCCTGGAACAACAGATTTAAGAGAAAATAGAAAAACATCAAGACACGAGCTTCCAGTTTAGTAAGCATTTTATTGGTAAGAATTTTCACTGTAACTTTAGAACTGCATAGTGAGAGAGCAGAACATCAGGGAAAGGACAGTAGTTAGGATTCATAGCAAAGAACACAACACTACAGCACCTGAGAATGACAGCAATTTATGTTTATGCTATATCTATCTACATACTGTTGTGCATGTCAGCTTCTGTACACTCCATATCATAAGCTCTATGTCCTGAGAGAAGGGGGAAACCCAGACACATGTTGGTCAATTTTCCCTTTTGCTTTCTAGCTGAACTTTGGTAGGCAGTGCTAGAAGTGAAGACCCAACAAAAAGCTGAGTATTCTGTGCTATCATTTTGGAAGCCAGCTCTTGCCAGGCACTGGTTAGACCACATTCAACAATAAACAAAGGAAACAAATGTCTTCTCAAAGCGTAAAACCAACCAGACAATGTTACTGCTCTTCCCATAAAGAATTCTAACTCCCAGCTCTCAGGCAGACACAGCTCTACAAGCTCACTGTCACTGATGGCTTTTAAACTTTTAATATAATAAAAAAATCTAAATTTTCAATAGTGATTTTGGGAGCTCCGCTTGCTATATCTTAAAGTGGCAAATATCCATTTTCCCTCAAAACCAGGCCTCATGCATTCCTTGGGGTGGGCACCATCCCAGAAACCAAAACCAAGACGTCACAAGTCACATTTGACAATGTAGGCTTTTGGTCTCTGTTTTAAAGTTGAGTATCTGGTAGTCACTTTGGTCTCGACTCAACCACCCTAGTGTAATACCTTACTCTGAAAAAAATCAACAGTCACGGTTCAGCTGGGCACAAGCTTCAGTAATCTGAATAGGGCAGTTTGAAGCGGAGCCCCAGCAGATGCCATCGAAGGAAATATCTGTTTAGGACCAAGTCTTTAAAAATGCATCCAACCCAGATTATAACATCATTGCTGTCGCTGCCCACCACGCTTTTCTGTAAGAGCAAGCGAAGTTCCTCATTAATGAGCAGAGTTTCCCAGGTGCTGAGTTCCTGCAGCTCCACAGAAACTGCAGATGCTCAGCACATCTGAGTGGGTGAAGCAGAAGAAAGGCAAAAGAAAAAGGTCATTGCTATGTAGCCACCCCGACAACACAATAAAGCTGCTACTTTAATCTTGAGGAATTAGATGCAAACCAGTGTTTTAGGGAAGTGGATTTATGGGCTGTTATAAATGGTTCATCTCAACATTAACTATGAGTAAGCTGAGGTGGCTGCCCACCAAAGCTGTTCATCAGAAGCGTGACCTCTGCTTAACTGCTCAATGCTAGCTTCCATCAGCAGCAGAGAGGCTGTGAAGTCCTGACTTCCAGCACCAAAGGAACTAATGTCCTGATTATATACTCCAGTACACATCACAGTGTGCTTAACAGCTATAAAAAGTGCTATTAAATTAGTAGACAATCAGCTGCCAAGATTTTGTTTGAAAGCAGTCTACCATAATAGAAGCCAACTACAACCTTCAGCTTTTCTTGAAGATTTTCCTTTTAGCGCATTACTGTGCAATGTCTGGTTTTCTTGCTTGCTTGGTTTTTAGACACTGGTTTTTTAGAACTTTCAAACCAAAAAGCAAGATGATCATTTTAAAGTGTAGCTAGTCGTACACATGAAAGTTCTACCAGCAACAGAGTTCCTTTTCCTTATGGGCTTTCTTCCTACAATCAAGGACTAAAGTATAACTTTGTGTTTTCAGCACAAGACAAAACACTCCCATGCTGTGATCAACAGTCCCTGCAAGAGAGTTACTAGGCTGATCTATTTTGTGCTTTGCTTTCACTCCCATTACAGTCTAACTCACACACGCACACAAAAGTGGAGTTATATGTAGCTGTCTTTATTTTCTATGTGCCTCACACAAAATAGTGCCGAACTAAGTGAGCGATGGGTGTTCTATGTAGCTAGTCAGATGTCAGAGCTCCAAACAGGGTTCTGAACTATACAACCAGTTCCAAGGTACCCCAATGATTGGAATATGAATAGGCTTTCATTTAGGGCCTTGTCCCTCAGATGAGCATCAAGGAATGGTTGAGCACACTGCAAGACTGGACTCTAGGAGAGGATTAAGTGATACTTTTCAAACATTTTGGATTGGTGCATGGGCCAGTTTCCCTTCTGGGAAATGTGTTCTTTTGAACAGGATTATTCCTCTTTTGAAATGCCTGTTGTTTCTGCACAACCCGAATTCTTGGATGAATATGTGCAGTGCCCACTGAGTTCACTTGAAGCCATTATATGCACAGAAGGGCAGAATTAGGAAACTACAGTCTGTTACAAAGCCCCCCCTCAATGTTCAGTGAAGCGCTCACAGTACGCTTTGGTTCAACAATCTCTCATTACTATTAGAATATTTCTTTTCAAAGGATTTTCAAAAGGGTTTATTAAGACTAAATCAATTGATGACAGTTGGCCCGACAGTGAGAAAAATTTTGCTCTTGCTGGCTGTTAACCAAACTTTTCCGAGTATTGAAGAGTCCTGTACTGGTTGTATAGCACAACCCAGACAATACAGTTTTAGGTTACACCAGGTTTATTCCTTCCATCACAAAGTCACATAGCTGCCAGATCCCATCTATTGTCATCTTCCCTGACATACGCCTTGAAGATTTTAATCAACTTTCAACTGAAAGCATAAAGGAGGCAAAAGCCTCAAAACATTAAGACAGCATTGTTATGGGAAGCTCAAAAATCGAAGTATAAAAATATGATATCTATAAAGATCAAAGCTTAGGCACACCCTCCCTTTTCCCATGAAGTACGTACGTAAGTTCTGTCTGTTGGTTCCTCTATGCCTAGCACAGCTCAGTTTGTATTATAAAGCAGGACTGTACAGTAGGGTTGGGCATGAGAAACAACTCAGCAGAAGAGAATCAGCTGAAAGATGGAACAGCTCCTTGGGCACTTCTGTAATGCAGAGTGAGACAGAGGAAGGGGAATTTTTTTTTAATGGCCACTTTAGGAGATATCAGAGGTGGTGCGTAAAAGCCAGACACCACAGCACTCATGCTATCACAGGCAAGATCTTGCTATGGGGAACGGATGGGATGCTAAAGTAACAGGTGGGGAACGTGGATCTGGTGCCTGGCACAGCCTGCATACAAGGTCCACTCGAGTTTCTTTCCTGTTTTCCTTTTCTATCTGCTTTCTGTCTGCTCCTCCCTTCCCCATTCATGGTTCCCTCCCCAAACAAACTTCAGCTTACCCTTTTAACACATACTTAGTGGTGAAACTTCAGCTTACCCTTTTAACACATAGTGGTACTCCCAGGCCCAGTCCTGCAAGGATGACTGATCAGTGATCTTCTCTGGACAGAATACAAAACAGAGTTGAGCATAGATGCAGACCTTACACACAACAGCCCCTTCCCCACCAAGGCATTTGTGACTGGACAAAGGGAAATAACTGCTCTCTGATCAGATCCCCAAATCTTCCCATCCAAACTCATTAGCCTGCTAAGTCTGAGACCTAACTGCTTAAAGTCATGTGGGCCATGTTAAACAAAAGGCTTGTAAAGTGAGAGAAACATCTGTTGCAAATACAAGTACTGAAATAATTCACGTTTTATAGCACAGATATAATGGAGTTTTTCCTTGCTGAGGATTTTGTCCTATAAAATGGGTGTGGATGTGCTAACGCCACTGCTGATGTACTGCAACAACTCTCCCCATTTACACATTAATTTATGAGAATTCAGTGCCATCCACCAAAAAGTAAGCATTACCCTGTGGGACCATTAATAGAATCCTTCATATCTGTCTTCAGGAGTGTTTTGTGACACCAATAGCGTAAAATTCCTAAATACATGACTTCAATACACTGTAACATGCTGGAGTTAACAGCTGGACTAACTAGACTCAAGGATTAGCAATAACAAAAATTCCAGAGCAAATGGTTAACAGTCTGGTCTTAAGGTGGGTGACAAATGACAAAACTTAATCCTTTGCTTGTAATATTAGCATTAGTATCAATGCAATCACTGATCAATAGGTATATAAATTCGTCAGACAGCCCAGCTTCATAAAAAAATCTCACATGAAATTAGCAAGTGCCTTTTTAACCATATTTCAATTAAATGGTACCTTTAAACCCTCATCTTGGGATGGTTACAAGGGGGTTAATTAAGGTGTCAACACTAAAAAAGGTGCTCCTGCATTTGTCTTATTAAAAATCTTTACAATAAACAGTACTTTGCAAAATATATTATTGCACAGGAAGAATAAATAAAGGTTTTTGGAGCTACAAAGACAAAGATCCCAGGCAAGCTAGAAGACCCAGAACAACGATCCCAGGGCCATTCCGGTCGCTGCGCCAGCAAGCATGCCCAGTGCAAGGTCTCCATCATTGTCACGGTAACGCTCTCGAATGATGACATGATTTGCAGGGGGCTGGCCATAGGGTCCTAGAAAGCAGCGATAATTTGGTTAGGAAAAGAATTTGTTCATGATTTGATTTTGATGCAGGCTTGAAAAGCCTACCCAGTCACCCACTCCTTCCCCCCCCTTC